AAGAATTAGACCCAAACATTAACAGCGATTATCTTGGCGTTTGGATGGCAGGGGATTTTTCACCCCTCTATTTTAAACCCCTTTCTCTTTTATTATACCTCAAAGCGGCAGTAGAGGGGATATTTTCCCACTAATACAGTCAAACAAAAATCACCTTCTTTTGCTCAGTAGTTTGGGGGACAGAGCACTATCTAGTCATTTGACCCCTAATGTACCTCACTTTCAGTCTCTCTAGGGTAACTATTAAAACTGTGCAAGAGAACTTCCTGTCGTGATGGAAATATAAATCTGCACTGTTGAATATGGAAGCCACATGTGGCTGGTGCACCTGAGACAGAGATCACTGTCTTTTAATTAATATTAGTGCTACAGTCCTGTGTGGCTAGTGTCTGCTGTGTTGGACAGCACAGTATAACGCCTTTCCCCCCAGGGTGACTGTGACTATTTAAATGACAATGTGCCTCAGCTGCCAAGTGAGCTTGCATTTTAGGAAGATGGGAAGGCAGTTCTGGGTGCTTGTTCTTACCTTTTTTTCGTTTTTTGCAGTTTTTGGCTGGGGCTGCATTTGAACCCACCACCTCTGGTATATAGGGCCGGTACCCTACTCCTTTGAGCCACAGGCACTGCCTCTGCTCTTACCTTTTTAAAAAGGTCATTTTTGCTACTCGGGAGGCTGAGGCAAAAGAATCGCCTAAGCCCAGGAGTTGGAGGCTGCTGTGAGCTGTGATGCTACAGCACTCTACTAAGGATGATAAAGTGAGACTCTGTCTCTGGGAAAAAAAAAAGGCCATTTTTTTTTTTTTTTAAAAGAACACCCCTGAATTGTTTGGGACAGAGGAACAAGTTAAAGCTTTGGTGAAAGCTTTTTTCTTTAAAGATGCACAAAGTCGGCTTGGCGCCCAACCACAGTGATTACAGTGCCAGCCACATACACTGAGGCTGGCAGGTTCAAACCCAACCTGGACCAGCTAAACAATGACAACTGCAACAAAGAAATAGTTGGGTTTTGGGGTGGGCACCTGTAGTCCCAGCTACTTGGGAGGCTGAGGCAAGAGAATCGCTTGAGCCCAAGAGTTTGAGGTTGCTGTGAGCTGTGACAGCAAGGTACTCTACCGAGGGCAACGGCTTGAGGCTCTGTCTCAAACAAAAAAAAGAATCCAACAAACAAGTCCAAAGCTTCAAACAGGTTCTCAAACTCAAAGGCCCACAGGGGCCAGAGATGTGAGCAAAGTGGGCAGCCCCTCCCCGACTCCCCACTGTCACATGGGAAAGTGAGCCTAGCATCTCCAGATCTGATTTTTCAACAGAAGTAGGAAATTTGGACTTTTATAAAAAATCTGCACATTTTAAAATTTTGGTAAGAATTTTTTAAAAACACCCTTGTGTTTGTGCCAAGTAAAACAAGAAATGACTTGGATGAACTTCTTTTTCTTCCCGTCCTGGACTCAGAGCCTGGCTCCTGGACAAGACGCAGCAAATACCCAGTGATGTCACCCCAGCCCCCAGGCTCCCTGAGAACAGTCCCTTGGGTATTCCAGCTGCCTGTCTGGTTCCTCAGCCACCCATCTCCCACTCCCTTCCAACTCTCTCCACCGCTGGCAGCATCTCTTCAGTGCCTGGACACCCCCTCAGCTCAGTTAACCCTAATAACTAAACACTTTGGGGGACACTCAGGTATCCTCCTCAGCACAAGCCTTTGCTCCCTCCCCAGGCCTGGGGCTAATGCTGGCCTCATAACCCTCCCACCAGATCTGCCTGGGCAGAGCTGAGGATTGGAACCAGGACAGCAGCACATCTAGGCCTGACTGCAGGTACCCAGGCCCAGTGGCTGTAACCAACCCTTTCCTAATTTGGCAAAGTGCTGTTCCTGGCTTGGGTATCACACGGGAAAAGGAAGCAGGATGTCAGGAGTTGAGTGCCTCAGAAAGGGGAAAAAGGAAAGACGGGCTTTCCATCTACACTGGGCCTCACAATACTAGATTCCTAAAATGCTTTCCTGAGATTAAACAAGTATGGAGAATTCTGCTTCTCAGATCACCCTCTCAGAGACCCCTGGTATACATTTGCATCCTAAAAGCTTCAGACTGCCTATAATTTAAAACTTTGTTTCCCAAACCTATTCAACTCAGAACCCCTCTCATCATTAACACCTATGGTTCAGTGGCAAAACTCAAGAGAAATGCTGTCAGCCACCTCCCAGCCTGTCCACGGGAACAGCTGTGCTTGGCCAAGATCAGGCTGCAGCCACCAACACTATGGCAGTGGGAGGGGGACTGGAGCAGCTGGCAGCTGGCTGGGCCTTAGCTGACAGTCTGGGGCCTGTTCCAGGGTCCGGGAGAAACAGCTGGAGCAAGGCCCAAGGATGGGAGGCACGCAGGCTCCCTCACTCCTGTCACTTGCACTGAGAGCCATCAAATGGGCATTCAAAGTCGTAGCATGTGCCAGGCCTTTCCCCCAAATCATTTCATTTTACTTCCCAGATCACCCTGTGGGGGAGATTTCGAACGCCACTCTACAGATAAGGAAGCCCAAGCTCAGGGGTGAGGAGACTTGCCTGTGGCCGCCTTGTGTATTGCAAGGTATGCCCCCTCCTCCCCACCCCCGCATGTTATTCTCTCTCCTGTCTTTTTCTCTATGGGCCCTTAGATCCCCCCAAATCACTGGACAAATATTTTGAGAAATATTTTGCCCAGGCTCAGCTCTAGAAATTCTGACTCCACAGCCTGGGCACTTATATTTTTAGGGAGCTGTTTCCAATAAATAGCCAGTTTGGGAAAGAACCGCTTAGCGACTACTTGAGTATCTCTGGGCAGAGGAGACTAATGCTGGCTCTGAGAATTTGACTTGGCAGTTTGCCCTTTTGACCGCTCTGATGACAGTGCCCCAAGTAAGGGTGGGGTGCTACCTCCTATCTTTCTACCCTGAATTAAGGGAAAGGGTGCAAGATGGGGTCAGGACCAGGGTGAAGGTCGAGTTGAGGCAGGAAAGAAGGAAAGGGCAGGGTTGCCAAAGCCCCAGAGGAGGCACAGGCCAGCATGGCTCTCTCTGGACAGGTTTTAGGAGATGAGCACAATCGGCCATAGGAAGTTAATTCCCAGCTGCACATGGTAGGAAGAGACTCTTGGCTGCAGCCCTGGGGAGTGGAGTGAGTGTGGGTGGGTGGGGGCCTGTGGGAAGCGGGGAGTGGGTAGGGCAGAGAGGGCTGGCAGGGTGCCTGGGCAGAGCTAGGGTGGTTTCTGTCTGGACTCTCAGGCAGTGGTTTTCTAGGTCTGAGCTGGAGGGCTGTGTAGACGGGGTGTCATCTTCATGTTTTCTTCTCTAGGACTTATGTGATGGGGAAGGGGAGAGGTGGGAACCGCTGGGCACTGCAGCTCTGTCCTCTGATCCTGTGCTTCCTTCTGGAGTAGTGAGGGCGGCTGCCCCAGCCCTGTTCCCTCCACATCCCGTCTCTCCCCTCCCACAGTGTGTTGTTCGCTCACTCACCTTCTCAAGGACCCCAACCACCCGACAGCCCCTCAGCTGCTCCAGGGCTGAGCTCAGCGTGCGGATGGGCCGGAGCCTCAGGCTGCTGAAACCCTGCAGGGGAGGGAGACAGGCCATATGCAGCCTCAGGGCCGGGCCCTCCTCAGCCATGGCCCCCTCACTAAGCCAAGGATAGGGGCTTCTGGCTGCCAGGAGAGCAGTGCTAGAGGCCATCACACGGAGGCCTGGAGTATAGCAAACACCACCTCACAGGGACAGGCTGAGCAGAGAAGCTAGCCTTTTTTTTTTTTGAGACAGAGTCTCACTCTGTTGCCCTGGGTAGAGTGCTGTGGCATCACAGCTCACAGCAACCTCCAACTCTGGGGCTTAAGCAAATTCTCTTGCCTCAGCCTCCCAAGTAGCTGGGACTGCAGGCGCCTGCCACAGGGCCCAGCTATTTTTGTTGCAGTTGCCACTGCTGTTTTAGCTGGTCGGGGCTGGCTTTGAACTTGCCACCTTCAGTATATGGGGCTGTTGCCCTACCCACTGAACCACAGGCGCTGCCCAAGAGAAGCTAGCCTTAACTGCCACACGGCCACACTGGTCCAGGTTGGCCAGGCTGACTTCTGCTTAGCCCTTGTCCAAGGCCTGGGGAGTTCCTGGGGCTTCAGAAGCCCCCTCTCAAAAGCCCCATCTGCAGGGTGGGGGCAGAGATGCAACTTGGGAATAGGTGGGTTTAGGGAACATGGCTTGAGGACAAGCACCTGCTTTGGGGAAAGGTGCCCTTAAAAGAGGAAGTGGCCTTAAAAGGCACCCTTAAAAGAGCCCTAGGAGGGCTCGTATGCATCTGTGCCCACCTGTGGGATAAGTGTGTGTACATCTTCAACCCCTCCTGAGTGCTCACTTGCTTAGAAAAAACCATATGGGGAGTCTCTGTGCACACGTGTGCACATGTGGGTGATGAGATCTGAGTGCCAGTTCACAGCAGAAGCAGGCTCTGGAGGCTCTGAGTGTGTACACATGGAGGCGACCATATGGAACCATGTGCAAGCTTGGTAGGTGTGTATTTACATACATGTCAAGAGCTCTGTGAAGGAGCCCGACTGGGCTGGGGATGATTCAGTATGAGTGTAAAATGAGTGAAATGTGAGGGCGTGGGAAAGGAAACCAGGAGAGCGGGGTGGCAGCCCCGGCACAGTCCAGAAGGCTGATTTTCACTCCCCACTGCCCAGCTCGCCTTGCAGCCCATGCAGACCTGTGGTGGCCTCAGCTCTCTCCCCTCAGAGCCCTCCTCCCCTCTGCAGGCCTTTGGGGAGGGTCCCCTCACCGTCCCAGGGCTGGCTCCACTGCCCGGTGTCTGCTGCAGGTGGCAGTTGAAGATCTCCTCTGCCCGTCGCAGGTACTTGGTAATTTTCAGCTTGACAGCCTCACATCGCTCCTTGTTGGGGTCAGCTGTGGAGGACAAGGGTCACCAGGGCCCACCCTGCCCTAGGAGGGTTGGGATACCCTCTGCCTTCCAGGGCACAACTCACCCCTGTTTATAAGGCTGGCTCAGCAGATTCTGACCCTATGTCCGTTTTCTTTTTTTTTTTTTTTTGAGATGGAGCCTCAAGCTATCCCCCTGGGTAGAGTGCCGTGGCATCACAGCTCACAGCAACCTCCAACTCCTGGGCTCAAGCAAGTCTCCTGTCTCTGCCTCCCAAGTAGCTGGGACTACAGGCGCCCACCACAACGCCCAGCCTTTTTTTTTTTTTTTTGGTTGCAGCCATCATTGTTGTTTGGTGGGCCCGGGCTGGGGATTCGAACCCGCCACCTTAGGTGTATGTGGCTGGTGCCTTAGCTGGTTGAACCACAGGCACTGAGCCCCTATGTCTGTTTTCAAGCCCCTCCTCTGGGGTGGGAGACCAGCAGGGGAGGAAGAAGGAAGCTGGCTGGGGGAGGTTGGGAACCATGGTCATCTCTCAGCCAACAGCACTTTACAGTTGGTACCCACCACCTCACTGGCCACCATCACACCCTGGGAAGGGACAGGGTGGGGATTTCCACATCCATTTTTTCAGAGGAGACAGAAGCTTCCAGAGAGCGCTGCTTCTTCCATCTTGGATGCCCAATGTGAAAAAGGCCAGGATCAGGACCAGGGTCAGAGGACAAAGGAATTCTTTGCATAGGCTGGAAGCCCAGGTTCGGAGGGGTATCTTCAGCAGAAGGGTAGGAGTGAGTCAGGACCCTCTGAGGCCCACAGGGATCTCCAGCTCGGGTCAGCACTAGCCCCACCTCTGGCATGGAAGTGCCTTGTTCTGCCTGAGAGGCCTCTGCTCTCACCACCAGGCCTTGGCAGTTCCTTCTTTGGGACACCATCCAGGCCTTCACCTGGACCACGTGCCCATCATTCTCCAATGCTCAGATCAGTTTCAACTTTTAGAAAATGCCTTATGCCAGCACAGTTTGGCTTCAGTTACCCTCTTCTCTCCCTTCACTCCCTTCTCATTCCAATTCCTATCTGGTACTATCACTGTCCATCATCAACTCCTCGGTCTCCCCCTCCTAGAATGTAAGCTCCCCAGGGCAGGAGCCCAGCCCAGCTCCCAGAGCAGTCAGGTATAGGGGACCAAGTACACAGCCTTTGAAGCCAAAGCTGTTCAAAGCCCAGCTCTGCCATTTGGTAGCTGTGGAACCTTGGAAAAGCTATTCACCTGATAAATGCCTCAGTATCCTCATCCAGAAAATGGAAATAAAAAATAGTTCCTATATACTTGGAACTACATGCAACCATGTATAAAGAAATTTCTAATACTATAAGGCTAAAATGAGTTAATCTGGGTAAAGCCCTTAGGATGGTGCCCGGTATATAGGAACTGCTTGCTAAATGCTGGCTATCATTACTGTCCTTCACAGAGGCCCTACAGGGCCAACACAGTGCTCTGCTCACCTGGTATGAGTAGACAGAGCACAGAAGAATGGCAGCACAAGTCCTGCAGTGGTCCTTCCCCACCAGCCCCCAACCCTTCTCAGCCCTGGCCCTCACCGTGTACACCGCGGAGCAGCACATCTACACCATTCTGGTAGTGGTTGAAGGCTGCTTCATAGTCCTCACTAACATCGCGCTCCAGGGCCAGCCGGATCTGCGTGGCTGCATCCACCAGGTAGTCACGCTTGGTCACGTCAGGTGCCCCCATGGCCACCAGGTTGTGAATCTGCTCCAAGTACACGTGGGTCTGGGACTGTGCTCGTGAGCAGGACTCAGTCTCCAGGCTGGGGCTGGGCAGGCACTCACAGGCTACCAGGCTCATGGCTACCCTGTGGCTGAGATCTGGAATAAGCAAATATATTACAGAGGTCCCAGTTGGGAGCACCCCAATTTCCTTCACTGAATATTTGGGGGACAAATATTCACCTCCAAAGGTATCTTCATTGGACGCAGCGCCTGTAGTACAGTGGCTATGGTACCAGACACATGCACTGAGGCTGGAGGGTTCAAACCTGGCCTAGGCCAGCTAAAAGCAATGACAACTGCAACAAAAAAAAGAGCCCGGTATTGTGGTGGACACCTGTAGTCCCAGCTACTCAGGAGGCTGAAGCAGGAGAATCTCTTAAGCCCGAGAGTTTCAGGTTGCTTGTTGCTCTGAGCTGTGACTCCACATCACTCTATGAGGGCCACATAGTGAGACTCTGTCTCAAAAAAACAAGGGATCCCTGTTCATTGATTGAGTTAGATACTTCCTAAGTGGTGGCAATGACAGAATACTAACACAGCTTAAGGCTCTGTTTTCCTTTCCATTCAAATTCAGCTCAGGAAGAACTTCTCAGCACCTACCATTGAGCACTGGAGGGAGCTGAGGATGTCTGTGATCCAGAGCTGCCTTCCTGGGGCCGCCACAGAGCAAGGCTGGTGTCTAGGACACATTAAGCAGGTGGAGGCCACATGCTCTGGCACAGAGGCCTTTCCTCATGCTGCTCTCCCTGCTCTGCTCCTACTGTGGAAATAACATTTATCCTTCTGGGTTCAGCTCAGTGGTACCTCTCGCTGGACATATCCTCAGTGGCACCTCTCCCTGGACATATCGTGTTTGGTATCCCTTAGTCCTGGGGTCAGTGTGGTCAGTGAGTGAGGACCCCCCCTCCCCAGGGAGGCAGCAGCAAGCCAGGCACAGAGCTGGGCCTTTAAGGCCTGTTGGCAGAGAGAACTGCTGAGGGGCAGATTGAGTGCCACGTTGGATGGGGTTAAATGAGAGAGGGCAGGGTGACCTAGCCCCAGGGAGGGAATGGTTCTGTCCTGCTGGCACTATCTTGAGAAGACCAGGAGGTCAGCCATGTGGCCTCCAAGGACCTGACAGCAATTCCTCCCTAGCAATGTGTGACACAGTTGGCCAAAAGGATAAAATCAATGGCTGCGGGAAAGGCAGGGGCCC